CCTTTAACTTTTACAGTCTTCAAATGATATTATACCACTTGAAGTATGCCATAAGAAACTCAACAACAGTGAGCCCTTTCTCCCTCCTAGCATTTGTGATACTGTTGTCATATATTTACTTCTTTGATATGTTATTACTGTTTTCGATTAAACAGTCAATTGTCTTATAAAGAGATATAAATAACAGAGAAACATACTTTAAATTCATCCACATAATTACTGTCTGATGTCCTTTATCTCTTTGTGTAGACACAATTTCCATCAGATATCATCTTCTTGCTTTAAGTATTTCTCATAACATTTCTTGTAATTCCACTGATAGTTAATTCTTTCAGCTTTTGTATGTCTGGAAATGTATTTTCTCCCATTTTTGAAAGCTATTTTCACTGACTATAGAATTCTAGATTGGCAAGTTTTCCCCTTTTGTTACTTTAGAAATGTTCCTCCATTGTCTCCTAGTTACATCATTTCAAGAAGAAATCTGTCATATTAACTCTTGGTTCCTCTGTATGTAATACAGTTGACCCTTGAACAATATGAAGGGTGGGACACCAACCCCCTGTGCAGTCAAAAATCTGTGTATAACTTTTGACTCTCCAAAAATTTAACTATTAGTAGCCTACTGTTGATCAGAAGCCTTACCAATAACATAGTCAATTAACACATGCTGTGTATGTTGCATTTTTATATACTGTATTCTTACAGTAAAGTAAGCTAGAGAAAAGAAAACATTATTGAGAAAATCATAAGGAAGAGGAAATACATTTACAGTGCTGTCCTGTATTTATCAGATAGAATCCGTGTATAAGTGGGCCCACACACTTCAAACCCATGTTGTAAAAGGGTCAACTGTATATCATTTTTCTCTATCTACTTTTAAGATTTTCTCTTTATCACTAGTTTGCAGCCATTCATTATATACTTTGGTATAGTTTCCTTCATGGTTCTTGTGCTTTGGGATTCTTTGAGCTTCTTGGATTTGTGGGTTTGTGGCTGTAATATTTTAATATTTTTTCTGTACCTCCCTCCTTCAGGGACTCCAGTTACATGGTATATGATGTATGACACCACTCTGAAGTTCACTTATGGTTCACTGAGGTTCTGTTCTTCCCCTTGCCACCCCCCCACCCCAGTTTCTTTCTCTCTGTGTTTCCTTTTGGATAGGTTCTATTGCTATGTCTTCAGTTCACTAATTTTTCTTTTATGATATCTACTCTGCTGTTATCCCATCCAGTGTAGTTTTCATCTCTAGAAGTTTGATATGAGTCTTTCTTATATCTTCCCTAATTCTGTTTAACATGCTCAATATTTCTCACTTCTCAAATATATGGAATAGGTTATAAAACTTTCAATATCTGTGAATACCAATTTTTTAAAAATAGCCTAATTTTGATATAATTAAAATGCAATAAAACTCACTCTTCAGTGGTTGTTTTTTAGTATATTCTCAGAGTAATGCAATCTTGACAACTATCTGACTTTAGAATATTTTCATCACCTCAAAAAGAAACCCCATGCCTATCACTCCCCATTTCCACCTTCCCCCAGTCCCTGACAACCACTAATCTACTTTCTCTCTCAATGTATTTGCCTATAATGGACATTTAACATAAAAGGAATTATACAGTACGTGGCCCATTATGACTTGCTTCTTTCATTTAGCATGGTGTGTCCAGGGTTCATTCATGTTGTAGCATGTATCAGTACTTCATTATTGCTCAATAATATTCATTTAATGCATATTTTGGTTTTCCATTCATCAGTTGATGACCATACAGATTGTTTCTACTTTTTGGTTATCATGGACAATGTTGCCGTACACGTTCACACCAAATTTTGTGTGGACCTCTGTTTTCAGTTCTCTTGGGTTTGTGCCTACAAATGGAATTGCTGGATATATGCAGTAACTCTATATTTAACATTTTGAGCAGCTGTCAAACTATTTTCCAAAGTGCCTGTACCAATTTACAATGCCACCCACAATGTATGAGGCCTTCAGTTTCTCTGCATCCCTGTCAACACTGGCTTTTGTTTGTCTTTTTTCTTGTAGCCATCCTGTTAGATGTGATGTGGTATGACACTGGTTTTGATTGCGTTTCTTTGATGACTAATGATGTTGAGCACCTTTTCACACACTTATTGGCCATCTGTACTTCTTCTTTAGAGTAAGGCCTATTCAAATCCTTTGCCCATTTTTTTTTTTTTTTTAAGATTTATTTATTTCAGACAGAGAAAGAGAGTGCATGCGAGCATGGGGGTGAGGAGCAGAGGAAGAGGGAGAGAGAAACTCAAGCACACTCTGAGCTGAGTGTGTGGAGCCCAGTGCAGGGCTCAAGCTCATGACCCTGAGATCACAACCTGAGCCGAAACCAAGAGTTGGACACTTAACTAACTGTGCCACTAGGCACTCCCTTTGCCCATTTTTAATCAAGTTTTATATAAAGAGTTCTTTATATATTCTGGATACTAGATCCTTATTGGATATACGATTTTTTTTCATTCTGTGGGCTGTCTTTTCACTTTCTTGATGGGGTCCTTTAAAGTGCGAACGGTGGTAATTTTTATGAAAAGCAGTTTATTTTTCCTTTTCTCACTTGTGCTTTTAGTGTCATGTCTTAGAACCCATTGCCTCATCTGAGATCACAAAGATTTATTCTTATATTTCCTTCTAAGACTTCTATAGATAGATTTAATTGTTAAATTAAGGACTATGATCCATTGTTAGTTAATTTTTGTATGTGGTATAAGGTAGTGGTCCAACTCATTCTTGTGTGTATGTATATCCAGTTTTCCCAGCACCATTACTTGAATGTTTACCAATTTTATTATCTTTGTCATTTTGGAGTCAGTTTTAACTATTTTTTTCCTTATTTTGGGTTGTATTTTCTTGCCTTGCATGTTTGATAACTGTTTATGGTATGCTTTACATTGTTAATTTTACCTTTTTGGGTGCTGGATATTTTTGTATTTATGTAGATGTTCTTGAGCTTTGTTACAGGACAATTATGTTATTTGGAAATAGTTTGATACTTTCTGTTCTTGCTTTTAAGCTCTGTTAGTTGGTTGCAAGACACATTTAGTTTAGGGCTAATTTTACCCCACTACCAAGGCAAAACTTTTCCAAGTTCTATAGTTGATACACCATGAATTACGAGATTTTCTTACTAGGCCGGTAGGAACAATAAGTACTCCCAGTTTGGGCATTGTTCCCTCCAAGTCCTTTCAGGTGGTTCTTTCCCCAGCTTCTGGTGGTGTCCGACATGATAGTGCCAATTAGTACTTAGCTGGAGCTGAAGAGGAACCCTGGGCTGATCTCTGGAGCTTCCTCCCCACCCCCTATTTCGGCAGCTCTCTCCCCTCCACTACTCTGCCCTACAAAACCAGGGCACTGACCTCCCCAGAATACCAGCTCGGCCTCCTTGTTTTACAGTGTGTCCAGAATTTGTTTGAATCAGCAGTGGTAAAGTGACAGGCATGGAGAACTGCTTTTGGAGTAAGAGTTTTATTACCTACAGTTCCCAGGAGGAGACAGGGTAGAAGGAAGGCATGAGGAAAGTGCAGGATGCCAGGGGCCACCTTGTTTGGATGGAGAGATTATTGACACTGATTAATTCCAGACAGCAATAGAAAAAAATACAAGTTTTCCAAAATTTTAGGTACAGCTAACCACTTGGTGAATAAAAATAGAATTCGTGCTTTCAGACTATTTAGTGAAAAGAAATTTTTAAGAGAGAGTAAAGGGGCATGTGGCTGGCTCAGTCAGAAGAGCGTGCGACTCTTGATCTTAGGGTTGTGAGTTCGAGCCCCATGTTGGGTGTAGAGATTACTTAAAAAAAAAAATGAACTTTAAAATAAATAGAAGAAGAAAATATCATTCACACTAAAGGGAGTAGAAAGGAGAGTTGGAAATCAAAAGAAAGCAAAGCATATACAAAACAGGATGACTGGAGTCAGACCAGATCTCTCTTATATTAATATATGTGACTGTGTTAAGTCCCTTTATTTAAGAGTTACTTCCAAATTACATTTTTAAAGAGGTCTGCTTATGATTTCAAGAGACATACTTAAAACGAGAAAAGATTGAAAAATAAAGAAAAGGACACATATACCAGGCAGATGATGACAGAAAAGCAGGCAAAGTGACAATAATATACCTATCAAAATGGAACCCAAGGCACACAGCATTTAATGAAAATTTGCAGACCAGTATAAGAAAGCCACATAAATTCACATTGTCTCTGATTCTCTTTCTCTTTCTCCGATATGTGACATCTTGAAAGGGAGAGGGTCAACTTTGCTCAGTATGCAGTCAGTACAATGGGACTAACCCTCAGTAAAAACTCTTTAGGGAGCCTTTAAACCTATTTTAAAATAAACATTCATTTTAGTTGTAACTTTAAAAAATAAATAAATAAAAGGTCAGGAAAGTTTCACATTAGTAACTGCATGCAGTTTCCCTGGTATACATGATTTAGCTGTAGAAGTGTGTGCTTTTAATCCTTAAATCACAGGGGCGCCTGGGTGGCTCAGTCGTTAAGCGTCTGCCTTCGGCTCAGGTCATGATCCCAGGGTCCTGGGATCGAGCCCCACATCGGGCTCTCTGCTCCACGGGGGGCCTGCTTCTCCCTCTCCCACTCCCCCTGCTTGTGTTCCCTCTCTGGCTGTGTCTCTCTCTGTCAAATAAATAAATAAAATCTTTAAAAGAAAAAAAAATCTTAAAAAAAAAGAATCCTTAAATCACAAAAACACATTGATCAGGCACACCGTACACCATTAGCTGTGGCGGCCAACATTAAGCAGTCCTGTCACTGCTGTGTGTCACTGTCGAGAAAGGCAGGTGAGGGGGACATACCTCTCTTGGCCTCCGTGACACCTCACATCAGACAGTGCTTGCTGCAAGGAAAAGGGGGAACAGGAATTAAATCCAATTAATTTGACATTTGTGACATTTGTGTTCGTTCTCTGTATTCTAAGTGTTTGACTCTTTTTTTTAAATGTAGCTAACGCTGCCTACCTTGGGGGCCAAGAAATGATGAAGGTGGTGAAGAGAGACAACGAAACCATAAAGGCATACTTACCTAAGGTAATCACTTTGGTGCTGCAAGGAAATAAGTAGATGGGCGGAAATATTTACTGAGCATGAAGTGCTAGAATTGGTTAAGAGTCTGTAAGACCTCAAGGGTTTGTAGATTTCACATAGAGTTCTACTTCTAGTTCAAATAAGGCAGTTCTTGAAAGTTGCATAGGAAGTCAGTAAAGCTGACTGTACACTTCAGTATATACTTAAAGTTTACCACCTGTTTTTGTTAGGTTTGTTTCTAGAATCAGTGCTTCTGTCTAGGGTCTTATGCTGAGGAGATCTCAATAATATTTATCAAATAATTGAGTTATATCAAAATGTGAGTAAAACACTGGACAAGAACTAACATCACTATGACCTGTTGACTCAGCCTGTCTTTCTTTATTCTCCAGTGCATTAGAACAGGAATGTTCAGCTCTGACACCAAGACCAGATTTCTATACAAGGAGGTGCAGAAGGGCAAAGATTGAAATATTTAGCATTTGGGAGTTAACTGCTCCAAATGTTGGCATCTTTTTTTATTTATTTTATTTATTTATTTCAGAGAGAGAGAGAGCATGGGCAGGGAGAGGGGCAGAGGGAGAGGGAGAAGCAAACTCCCCGCTGAGCAGGGAGCCTGATGGGGGGTTTGATCCCAAGACCCCAGGATCATGCCTGAGCCAAAGGCAGACGCCCAACTGACTGAGCCACCCAGGTGCCCCCAAATGTTAGAGTCTTACACAAACACATTTGGAAGCACCAGTCTCTGAAACTATGAGGGTACTGTGTTTGAGAATATGTCTAAGAACCCTAGAATTGGTGGCTCTGGTACTCCCATGGCATCATTTGTCTGCTGTCCATTCTGAATAGGATAGAACTGAACTGTCTAAATATGATAGCCACCAGCCACGTGTGGTTCTTTGTGGCTAGTCTGAAAGGAGATGTGCTGTAAGCATAACAGACATATTGGATTTCAGAAACTTAGTACCCATAAGAGATAAAATATTTCAATAATATTTTTATATCGATTACATGTTGAAATGATAATATTTTAGACTATTGGGATAAATAAAATAGACTGTTAAAAGTAATTTCATGCATTCTTTTATACTTTTTAATGTAGTTACTAGAAAGTTTTAAAGTACGTATGTGCTTTTATATTTCTGGGGGGCTGTGCTAATCTGGAATCTAGAGCTTTACAGTCAGTGCTGAGCTGTGACATCTGCAGAGCCCAATGCAGTGAGCCCTGCTGAGTGGTCACCTCTTCCAGGGCCCAAGAACCTACAGTCTGCAAGTCAAATCTCAGATACCCTCCCCTTGGGTTTAGAATGTCTTCATAAACTTTTGAGACATTTGACTTCAGCTTGCTACAGTGTTAATTCATATTTCTAGAACCTCCCAATACAATTATCTTAAAGCAAAAAATATATATGTTCTCTTAAAAAAATATTTTCAGAATATTGATCTATAGGAGCTTCACTCGGAGAGGACTTTTGAAAATCTGTGTTTGACTTATGGCCATAGTGGTCATCTTTTTCTAAAACAGCATTTGGCTAGAAATTGAAATTTTGAAGCCAGAAGGAAACCCTCACTAGCTGAATGGGGGAGGTTGGGGCCTCAGAAGAACACTTTCTCCGGGACTTTCAGCTGTTTCCAGTCACTGAAGGATGTAAAAATAAAAGAAAAACAGTATTTTATTTTTCAGCTAAATTATAAGTGAATTTGTTTCAAAAATGCATTTAAGTTCTCAAGGCCAGAAGTTCATAAAAACAACTCAATTCCCAGTTAATAAGATACCCACTTCCAAAATTCACACTTGCAGAATGACTAGACCCATCACGTGTCGAAGCCTGTCTTACCACCTGTGGAAGCCAGCTGCTATAAAATACTCATCATTTCTGGATTCTGTTCGTATGTTGTGCTCAGAAAGAGGTCACAAGAAGGTGCTAACTTATTCCTGTCCTAAGTTAAATCCATATGCAAGTGTAATCATTCCCAGATCGAAGTCTGCTTATGGTAACTGTGTCAGGACTGTAAGTTCACTGAAACTTTTAAAAGAGAAATGGGGGTATAATGGTAGATGGCAGGCCATTTCAAGGTTATTATTAACACAGTCACAGGAATAAACTTTTCCAACTACAGAGAATAGTTTTGTTTTGTTTTTTTGAGACAGCACTAAAGGGACTTGTGGAATTTGGGAAAGCAAGGCATTGTTTAGTTTAATGATGCAAAACTACCTTGCCATTAATTGATTATCCTTTGTACCGGCTCAGTTTGATCTCTCCACTAGAATAATACAGTTCCAGTTCCTAAGCGAAACGAGGTACAGAGAGACAGGAAGTTTATTGCAACTTTTTGTTTCTGTAATGAAGAAAGAGGAAACATGCTGTAATTTAATATTGGTGAAGGTTGATTCAACAAACGTCCCAGTCTGCTTGAGAAAATAAGGAAACTTGAAAGGGCCCATAGTCTTAGGAAGGTGGTGGGCATTGCCTCCTTCCTTCCAAACAATCCTGATACGTGGTTCAACTTGAAAACCGATTCCCAAGACTAGACATATCCCTTTTTAGATACTCTAGTCAAGGATACTCTGTCCCATTTCAGCCGCAAACATAGGGGTTCAAAAACTTCCTACCTATCCAGGACTGTCCCGTGTGGAGACTCCATGAACCACATATTTTGTTGCAAAAATAAGGTATCTCAATTATTCAACAAATTTTAAAACAGTTCTGAAAAATGTGTCTTTGTGCCATCTAGTCAGGAAGCCACAAGAAAGTCTAAAAGTAGTCTCTACTACATCATGTGGATGGCTTTGGGATTCTTTCTGATCCCCTAGAAAACTATCATACCATAATCAGCAGGCTTTGGCTCTACATTCAGATTTTCTACCATTGGATTTCCATTGTCCATGTGAAGAGAACTTTTATCTTCTTGAGGAAAATGGGCCTTTTTAATTCTGAAAAATCCACTGGGCTGATTGCCTGCCTCCTTCCCAGGTCTAGAGACTTTATACACAGTATCAGACAGTTGCATTTATTAGCAGTGCTTCAGTACTACATAAAGTTGTTTCTCTTTCTTGGAGCAAATATACCAGACTCATAGCTGTTTCCAAAAGAGTGTACCATGATCTGTGGCATCATAGATTGTGTTCTGTCTTCACCTGACTGAATCCTACCTGTCCTTTAAAACTTGGCTCCAGGGGCACCTGGGTGGCTCAGTCGTTAAGCATCTGCCTTTGGCTCAGGTCATGGTCCCAGGATCCTGGGATCGAGCCCCACGTCGGGCTCGCTGCTCGGCGGGAAGCCTGCTTCTCCCTCTCCCACTCTCCCTGCTTGTGTTCCTTCTCTCGCTGTGGCTCTCTGTGTCAAATAAATAAATAAAATCTTTAAAAATAAATAAAAATAAAAAATAAGACTTGGCTCCACTGTCATCTCCAAGAGGCCTTCCCCAGCCCCTGGTTTCGGTTAGATGCCCCTCCTCCAGCTTCCCTGGCTCCCTGTGTAGTTATAATATTGCATTTTTTACACAGTATTTTAAGTAGTCAGTTTGCCCCTCTTGTCCACCTACAGGCCAGGAACTATGTTTTTCTCGTCTTGGTGTCTCTAAAGACTCAGAACAATGTATGATACCTGCAGAGTTAATAAATAAGTTAACGTATACTAGATGGATGGATGGGGAAGCCATTAGGGTATAGATTCTCAGCCTTTTTTGTGCCAGGGGTCTCTTTGGCCCTCTCATGTATGGACCCCTACTCAGAATAACATTTTTAAGTATGTAAGATAAATACATGAAATTACTACCAAAAAGAGCAGTAGTATTGAAGTATAGTTATCACAATAACTTAAAAAAACAAATTTGTGGTCTATAGTATGTACACCTTTATTAACACATTAAATAATAAGATAAATAGTCAGAATTAAAATTGTAAATGTATAGCAAGGAGCATAAATAACTTTTTAGTTATCTTCACCAAGTTTACTGTGATTTGAAAATTTCCATAATTTTATAGGTAACAAAATACAGGTGTTACTCATACAACTATTGTTTGTTGCCTATATTCCTAAATGAAGGAAATACGAAATTATAGTTAGAGGTTAGCAAAAGTAAAGATGTCATCTTTTTCCCAAGCAAGTTTACATTACCCTCCCCCCACTCACCACGTCCACATGAACTCACGTGGACCCATAGACCCCCCAGTGAGGAAGCCCTCCTCTTGTGACACCAGACAAGGTTAGGCAGCATGGTGGTGTGGCTTGGGGGCTGGCCTGAGAACAAGAAGCCATGAAATGCTACACTAAAAAGATGAGGTCATTTTGAGCTGTTGGGGAGCTAGCGTGTGGTTTCAGCAAAGGGGTTAATGATCAGGGTGATATACAAAATGTTTGACCACCATCTGACATAGCGACTGACCTATCTGAGCCTGTGCCATCCGTGAACAGCTAGCCAGTTGAGAGCGACCAGCTCATATCAGTCATCCCTAGGAATGTGGCTGGCTTAGCAAATGAGAGGGATTATTGGGGGGGGGGGATGTATGGAAAATATTGGAGCAGAGGGAAATCTGAGACAGGGAGATCACTCAGAAGGCTTCTACAAGGACTGAGGCAGTGGGATGGGGGCGGAGAGGAGGTAGGATAAGGGAAGATTGAGGAAGTAGAATCAGAAGCACTTGTACTAATAGGACACGAGAGAATGAGAGGGAAGAGTCTCAGATTATGTTTCCGTACGTAGATTGGTAACAAGGTAGGGAATGTGGGAGAAGTACCGGCAAGTCGTGGGAGGTGGTTGAGAAGCTAGTTCGTGTGGGTACTTTGTTTGAGACACCTGTGGGACCCCCAAGCGGACACATGTCTGGCGGGCAGCTGGACATATGGGTGTGAAGCTTAGAATGGTGGTCGGGGCGGAATTTCGATTTGGATGTAACGAGGATAGACTCGAAGCCATGAGCCTGGGTAACAGTAACAAAAGGGAGTGGTATATGGAGAGAAGACATCTAAAGATTGATCCTTGGGAGCACAGCTCAAAAG